CTGAAATGAGTCTTCTCTTCCCTGATCAAATCCCAATCAAATGGTGGTTTACCAACTGACTGGTGAGTGCTGTTTTTTCTCAGGTTAGCACCTATTTTAGTAAGCTAGTAAGTGTGCACTTCAGGTTAGTCGCTAGGTCTACCCCCTTAAGAGAGATGGCTGAAGATTGCCCACTGACATTTCCTAGCTCAGGCTGCTTCTGTGAAAGCTTTCTTTCCAGAATAATGTGACGTTTCAGACCCGTTTCTGACTTTTCCTGGAGCCATTTGGTAGGTGTCGATGGCTGTACGAATGCAAATGTACTTGCTATTCTCTCCCTCCATGGCTGCCTCAACTTCTGCTGCACCTATGCATTCCCAGCACCTTTAAATACAGCTCAAACTCAAATCCTCTACAGTTATTTCCCTCAACTTTAAGGATAAGCACCATAATAAGTATTTATTCTTAATGAATTTTTTTTTTTGGTAGCAATTGGCAGATTTTAATACTCAAGAAAAATTAAGTCCATCATACACATTAAAAAAATACAGGAAATTTCATGCAACCATAGGGTTTCCAATTCAGCCTTTATGGTAATTTTAGAATAACACAAATACAGTACATTTTGCAGTTCCTACAACATTTTATATTATGATTTATACAGCTCTTCATATTTTATATTCTACCTTGTTTACCTGATTAACATTTACACCTATGAATTCTTAAAAGTTTTATTTGAGTATCTATTTGGTTATATTTGAGAATAATATACCAAAAACTTGGATTCACTTAAAAATCCTTTATATAAAGTTTTAAACATTTGTTACTGTTAAGTGCCCTTGAGTCAATTTTTTACTCATAGACACCCCCTGTGGTAGAGTTGAACTGCCATTGGATTTTCTAAGGTATTATTTTCATGGGAGCAGATTGCCAGTTTATTTCTCCCGTGGAGCTGCTGAATGGGTTCGAATTGCCAGCCTTCAGTTAGCAGTGAAGTACTTAATCTTTGCACTACCATAATGAATCTCTAAATACTGATGCATACTTTAAATAAAACTATTAGTTCATTTAACATCACATTTCTACAAGGAAGACGTTGTGTTTATTTCACAATACAGAAACTGTTCTGGAAAGTGGAATGACTTGCCCAAGTTACCATAGGTGGCAAGTACCAGAAGGGTTGCAAGTAACAGGAAGGCATTCAAATCCAGGAATGTTTGACTTAGAGTCATGTGTCACTTAATGTCCATGATACGTTCTGTGAAATAGGATGTTGTATGATTTGGATGTTGTGCGAATACCGTATCATAGTCTGGTCCTGCTTTTTCTTTAAGCATCTCAGATAAGCTTCGTGCTTTAGCAGTGATTGTCAGTGCTGAGAGGGATTCATTTTTGCTTGGTCCTCAGTCCACATCATTAGCAATTTCTCCATATCTGTTGTAGGTCTCTTGTATTTTTGTTAGCCTTTTAGCTTTCAGTGGAGTAAGTCCTTTAACAGCTTGGAGAATTAATTTTGTTTTTGAGGATCGTCATGATCGTCTAAATTGGAAGCAACAGTGTTCACTCCTTTTCCACTTTCATGTTTTAATAACCCGACTCGACGGCAAATAACAACAACAGTTTCATTTCTAAATCAGTATTTCTCCTTTGCCTCTTGCTGCTGCTGTTACTAGCACTGGTTTTGCTGCATTTGGGAGCCATAATGCACTCACTTAAGGGTAATATTTTCAAAAGAAAATTAAACAGAGAGAATGCTTGTGGTGCAGTGAATTTACTTGGTAAGGCTTTTCTAGCCATTGTCTTTGTGAGTCAAACCAAATTACTGGGTGGTGGTGGTGGTTATTATGTGCCGTCGAGTGGGACCCAACTCATAGCAACCCCTCCTTGGGTTTTCAAGGCAGTATCACTACGGAAAGATTGCTCCATCTTCCTTCCGAGGAGTTACTGGTGGGTTGGAACCACCAGCCCTCTGGTTAGCACTCCAATGCTTTAGGCACTATGCTACCAGAGCTCCTGATTACTGGGTGGGACTATGCAAATAAGGTGTATGGAACTCTTAACTAGAAGATTTGTTTTGATATGCTGCTGGGCTTAAAATGAGCCCTCCTAAAAGAAGAAGAGGGGATCTCACTGCCATCAGGAGAAGATCTGTAGATGGAGTGGCATGTGTCCTAGGATCCGAGATCCCTGCGCTGGACCTCCTTTGGCAGAGATGACAGGGCAAGACAACAGGCTGAGGAACCGAGAGGCATGAGACAACGGTGGGCTTGGTGGCCCACAGAGCAAGAAAGCTGAGTGCCTTTGGGGCAGGAGGCATGCTGGCAGAGTAGGGTGCACCTGGGTTTACCTATCCAAAAAAACCAAAACTCACTGCCATCAAGTAGTTTCCAACTCATAGCCACCCCTCCTTGGGTTTCCGAGGCAGTATCACTATGGAAGTAGATTGCCCAACCTTCCTTCTGAGGAGTGGCTGGTGGGTTTGAACCACCAGCCTTCTGGTTAGCAGTCAAATGCCTTAGGCACTACACAGAGCTAAAAGAGCTTTGTATCACTTGCCCAAGCAGGGCAGAGGCCAGGCAGAGACGGGGTCGGAGGGGCATGCCTGAAGGCATAGCAGCGGGAACACTATCCTGATAGAAGAATTGTATCCTGAGAGTGTTCCTGAACCTGAGTCGTAGCCTGTTACTTCCCTAATAAATCCCATAATCTTGAGTATTGTCTCTCTCAGTTCTGTATGGCCACTGCAATGAATTACCTAACCCAGGAAAGTAGTAGGGGCTCTGGTGGTGTAGTGCCTAAGGCATTTGACTGCTAACCAGAAAGCTGGTGGTTCAAACCCCCCAGCCACTCAGAAGGAAGGTTGGGCAATCTACTATTGTAGTGATACCGCCTCGGAAACCCAAGGAGGGGTCGCTATGAGTCGGATCTGGCTCAACAGCAGTGGTTTTTTTTTTTTTTTTTTTTGCACAGTAGTAGTGAGTGCCATGGGAGGGATATCTGGTGTTAGAGTTGGTTAAAAAAAAAAAAAAAGGCTGGAGGGTGGTGGCATGTATGGCCTCATAGGAATAAGCCTTGGGCTGCTGTATGACTGTCAAGACATATGTATTATAGGTTATATGTGTTCTGTACCATTATATGCCAGGCAGTGCAATTTGAATACAAAAGACATGGGATACATGTGTTTCATGTGGGAAGCTGTTGGATTTGCTACATTACATTTTCTGATTGGGATCTCTGAACTGTACTAAAACCTTCCAGGACCACAGACATGTGGTCAGATATTGCTCAAACAGACTTACTCAATCCATGACTATACTTCTATTACTCTGGCTCCTCTGTTGGGCCTACAAATCATTTGATTCTGTTCGTATGAAACTTTGTTTAAGTAGTTTTTTGTACAAATGCTGTTTCAGACAATCTAAAGTTTAGAGTTAAGGAGTCAGGACATGATCTAGAGTAGTCATGCTGTGCATTCTTGAATTCCACTTCAAAAGTGAAAAAGCAACTTTGCCTAGAGAAAGCCTGTCTTTAAAAGGGTTTTTGTTTTGTTTTGTTTTGTAAGCTATTTTCTTAATATGCCCTCAAATATGTGTTCACATTTTAACTGTTTCCTATATGGGTATTTTCCCTTTATATATAAATAATACCAGTATGATCAGTCCTTTTTCCTAGTATTCAGTATAGGTAATTCATTCACATGGTGTTTAGAATCATGTTAAGAAACCCTGCCTGCCAGAAAAATCAATGGGCTTGCCTTGTTTTACGTACTGTATTTGGTTTCCCTCCTGGCATGTGTGTGCACTTAGAAAAGTTGCTCTGTTTTATTCTACTGACATGGCAGTTCCCAGACAAGGGCTGTGCATACTGTAGGACTCAGTGCTGTGAATTGTAGCCTCCAGCATCTAGCTTCTAGCCCCTGCCTCATGAAGTGTTGTCTTCTAAGGAGCTCTGGTAGTTAGTGCCTAAGGCACCTGACTGCTAACCAGAAGACTGGCAGTTCAAACCCACCACTCCTCAGAAGGAAGTTTGGGCAATCTACTTCTATAGTGATACTGCCTTGGAAACTCAAGGAGGGGTCACTATGAGTCAGGTCTAACTCGAGGGCACATAACAACAACAGCCCTAAATATTGATCCTGTCAGTGTGGCTTCCAGGAAGGACTGGACTGGGGAAACTAATCTGGTCTGCTAATATGCTGGCTGGTATGCCAGAAATCTCAAATACATAAAAGGGAACTAGTAAGCAAAACATTTTTGTCTCATCCATTCCTGTGATGGTAGAATGAAGAAAACAGCGAAACTAGGGAAGTTATGTAGGTGAAAATGTAAAGAAAAAAAAAATAGGGTATCGCAGAAATAGAGGCTTTTCATTATCACGTGATTCCAGGCCTAAGGGTCCCAACACCCTCATTATTTGCACTCCACCCGTCTATAAGTAACTCATAGATGGAGGCTGGATCACCTAACACAATCATGTATTAAATAAATCGTTTTGCCAACAGAAATTAAAACAGTTTCTAGGAGACTGCTGGCTTCAAATCTTAAGTCTACCACTTAGTAGTTCTGTAATCTGAGAAAGGGGTCAATAGGAGTTCTGACATCGAAAAACAGAAGAAAATCAATCTACGTAGGGAAATTACCAATTCTCTTTTTGGAGGTTTGCTCCCACCAAGATGCTGCGGGCTGCACCAGAACCTTAGCCGCTCAGACCCAAAGCCCACCTACCTCCTGTGTCTTAACCTACGACGCGCAAGCGCAGCCTGGCTGCCAGGGCTATTCCAAGCTCGCGCGCCGTCGTCCGCGGGGATCCGGTCTCGCGATGCGTTTGTGCGTGCTGTGCGTGCGCGGCCCTCGTGAGTACGCGCACGCTGCCCCTCGCAGTACGGAGTCGTGGTGGCCTTTTCGTCTGGGTCCGGAGCTGGAGCAGGAACCCTGAGCGGTAACCGCGACCGAAGCTCGCAGCTAGCATCTACTCGATTGCCGTCACCATCGTTGCCTGCCTCTCTGCGGCGGATTCTGCTGTCCGCCATCCAGAGGCGGGGCTGGGGAGGGAGCGACGCTAGCGTGCGGTTCCCAGCTGATGGGAAGCCCCTGGACGCTCTGAGGTGCCGGGCTACTAGCGGCTGAGGTAGGTGGGAGCGCGCGCGCTTGTCAGCCTGGCCAGGGCCAGTGTCGGGACGGCGGGCGCTAGTGGAGGAAACGAGGAGGCAGCGAGCACGGAGGCCTAGCTAGCTGGAGAGAAGAGGTCTCGACCCTAGCTTTAGGAGGGGCTCTGGCCTAGCCGAGATCATGAGGAGGAGCCCGGACGTAGCTGCTCTTCTCTCGGCGTGGAGCCATTATTGGGGAGAAATTCCTCTTGAGGCGGGGGGGAGGGGTCACCCTTTCTTTCTTTGAGAGGTCATTATTAGCTTTCTTCCTTCTCCCTTAAAATAAAAGGCTGCCGGCTTCGAGATTGGTGTCTAGTTAGTGTGGCCTGTGTACTTCTACAGCTTGCAGAACTCCAGTGGATGGACAGCGGGCCAGCAATTTTGATTTTCAAGGGTACACAAACCCTTTCTCTAGTTTGGGCGTGTGTATCTTCTGCAAACTTGTTAACGATAATGCATTAACAGTCGCTTTCAGGCACAACAGGTAATACATTTTTAAACGCCTCTTTTCAAATAAGGCTTCTGGCACCAAGGACACTGCGCTGTGGGGCACAATTAAGGAGTAGAAAGAAGACAAAGAAGGCCGTTATTTATTTTCTGCCCTTACATCAAAACTTTGCGCGCTGGGCAGAGTGCGGAGCTACTGGCATTTCTTTAGATCTTTGCTGAATACCCTTTAGTGATTGACGTGGGTAGAAAATGGACATTTCATTTAGAATCGCAATATAGTATATGATTAATGTAATTGTTAGTCAAATGACCTGAAATAAATTTCTTTGGGAATTATATGATGTTTGGTCTTTGGAAGAGGAGCAGAACTTCGGTTTCTTGAAAGGCAGTTTTTCTCCATGTTTAGAAAGCCTCATGAATGTTTTGTGAACTTACTAAAAATAGTTCTTTCCGTTGTCAGTAATGACTGCCACATTCAAGAGAATGGAAAGGAATTTCTCCAGAAAGAATGGCTCACCATAACATTTGTAGAACAACTTAAGGGAGACCAAGTTCTAGCATATACTTTGATAATTCTAGTTTAGTCTTTCTTACATTGACTTTTTTACGTTCTGTGAACCATTTTATAAGATGATCTCTAATGTTTGGTAGCCTCCGTAGTCTGTTCTTTCTTGCTTCCATTGAGCCCAAACTTTCTAGACATGTAGTCTTCATTCTGATGCTTCTCAAGGATTGTGGCTTTCATACTTTGAATGAAATCCATACTATAGTATGGGAACAGTCGAGAAGATAGTTAGCTGGGAAACCCTGAAGTGGGAGAAGGGAGGAATTATTAAGTGCAGTCGAGTCCGACTCGACTCTTAGTGACCCCTCCTTGGGTTTCTGAGGCAGTATCACTACAGAAGTGGATTGCCCAACCTTCCTTCCGAGGAGTGGCTGGTGGGTTTGAACCGCCAGCCTTCTGGTTAGCAGTCAAGTGCTTTAGCCACTATGCTACTAGTGTAAATATGCAAATATTACATATAAGAGGATATGTATCTTGAATACAGGTTTTCCCCGCTATCTGAAAGTAGAGTGTTTGTAAGATGAAATAATGTAAAGCAAAGAAGCAATTATCATTAATTTATATGGGAAAATTTTTAATGTTCCCAGACAATAATAATAATAACGTGCTAGTCATACCAAGTAACACATAAAACCTGAAATAATACTAACAGACAGCGTTCACAGACTCAGTTCAGAGCGTAGTCCCCAAGAGGGAGCACAGTGATGCTACTTTTCCTACTGGGTTTGTGCTACCTCTTTAATGGACTCGCTGCAAAACACTGAATGCTAGTTTCATTTTTCTGCCTTTTTCTTAAAAAACGAAAATCCTCGCTTTTTTTTTTTTTTTGGTTAGCGAGAACACCTACTAATAATACAGGTCTTTTGTAAAAATGATGTGGTGTAAAGTGAACTTTTGAAAAGCGGGGTTACCTGTATGGGATGGTTATGCAAATAGGATCTAATGGTGCTGATTTTCATTGTTTGAAGTCTGAAAGTGGAGGATTAGTTTCAGCTCTATTTCCTTTTTTTTTTAGTTTACTCGCCTATTACCTTTTGTTATCTGTATTTTTAGAAATACAATCTTTATTTTTCTTTGGGGGTTGGAAACTACATCTTCCCAAGTTTAGAACAGTCTATTCTATCTTGTAGTTGTCTTGACTCCCCTACCATTTACAAGTTCTGTAACTACAGCTCTATTTCCTTTTTTTTTAGTTTACTCGCATGGACGGTTGTCATAGTAAATCCCTTGTCCAATTTGTTAGTCAGTTAATGTAAACAGAATACTAACTTCTTGGCAGTAGCAGGGAAGGAAAATATAGAACATACAGAAAACATACTTTTTAGAAATATTCTTAATTCAATGTCTCATTGTCTTTCTGTTGGAATTACAGGAATAGTTATATTCCTGTCTATTTTGTTTGTGACCTAGTGCTTAGAATAATGTTTTGCATGTATATGGTCCTTAATAAATTGTGAGCTATGTGAGAAGTAAACAATACTAACCAAATGCATAGGAGCTCTGGTAGCATAGTATCTAAGGCACTTGGCTGCTAACCAGAAGGCTGGCGGTTCAAACCCACCAGCCACTCCTCAGAAGGACGGTTGGGCAATCTATTTCCATAGTGATACCACCTCAGAAACCCAAGGAGGGGTCACTAGGAGTCAGGTCTGACTCGCTGGCCCATAACAACAACCAAATGCATAAAATTCCTGAAAAAGGTTAAAGGACTTGGAAATAGATATATTTTTTTTTGTTTTGTTTTTAAACTAAATTTTTGTTTTAAACTAAAAATTACAGGCCTAATTTTTAAATGGTACGTTCTTTTCAATGTAGGTTTGTATCTGAGTAAAGGATATGTGACAGCATCTTGGCTTAAAAGCTTAATGTAACGTAAGCTGAAATGGTCCATATCCTGAGTGTGAATAGATCGTGAATGTTCTGATATATTAAGTTCCAGAAGGTTTTGATAAGTTGTGATAGGAACTGAAAGGGATATACTATAAAGCATTGAAACAGATTTAAGAAGAAACATTTCTCCCTTTACTGGCAGTCTTACCTGTGGAAGAGAACTTGCACCTCTGTACTTCTTTTTATTAGAGCTTTCTGGCAGAGTGATTCCTGAATAATAAGATTGGGGAAAAAAGGTCACTTTTTCTCTTAAAATATTTCTGTTCACAGGTTTGAGTGTGTTTCTCCTTGTGTTTACATGTGGCCTCCAGTCCAATTTTATTGGCAATAAACTATTGTTTTTATTCCTAGTTCCTGTATATATTTCTCAATTAGTTTATAACTTGAAGGAGTATGGTTACTGTATTTTTACATATAACCCACCCAGGCAAAGAATGCATATACGCATAATGTGCATAGCATGCATAGGAAACTAACTGAGGAGATGTTGCTTGGTCTGGCAGGGGGCACAAGTATAGCACCTGTTATTTGCATACAAATATAGTAGTCCCCTCACAAACCCCAAAGTGGCCCCATCAGGCTACCAGTGGTAGCCATGCTTATAACAAGAGATGTTAACAACCAAAAGGTTTTCTGGGTATTTGATGAGAACCAAAACCCACTGTCAACAAAGTGAGAAACTTTGTTGGTTTGTCCTACTGTGGTGACATGTTGCTGTGAGTCTTGAGGCTCTGCCACTGGTGTTTCAAACCGAGTGGGGTGCACATGGTGGACAGGTGTCGGCCTGGCTTGCAGACTAAGACAGACTAGGAAGAAGGAGGAGGCCATCCACTTCTCAAAGAATTGATCAGGGAAAACCTTATGAATAACAACAAAACCCACTGTCATTTCCTACTCACAGCAACCCCCATTGGGTTTCCAAGGCTGTCAATCCTTAGAGAAGTAGATTGCCTTATCTTCCTCCCACAGAGCAGCTGGTGGGTTTGAACTGCCATCCTTGTGGTTAGCAGCCAAATGCCTTACCCATTATGCCACCAGAGTTCCAGGAGGGAGCTAAAAAGAGGAATTAAAAACTCAAATAGGAATATTTAAAATTCTTATGTTTTCATTTTAGTATCGTTGTTATTGTTATGTGCCGTTGAGTCAGATCTGACTCATAGCACCCCTCCTTGGGATTCTGAGACAGTATCACTACGGAAGTAGATTGCCCAACCTTCCTTCCGAGGAGTGGCTGGTGGGTTTGAACCTCCAACCTTCTGGTTAGCAGTCAAGTGCCTTAAGCACTATGGTACCAGAGTGAATGGATTCTCATAGGGGTAGGAGGAGAATAGATGTTACCTCCAGGAAACATTTGGCAATGTCTGGAGATAATTTTGGTTGTCACAGTGGGGTGGGGTTGGGTGGGGTAAGATGGGATGCTATTGACATTTGGTGGGTAGAGGCCAGGGATGCTGTAAAAATCCTGCAGTGTACCACCTAGTCCCCTGTTGCTATTGAGAAACTGTATGCTATTTTATCATTGTTTATTCTGGAGTCAGATTACCTGAATTCATATTTGGCTTTACCATTTCATAATGTGTGATCCTGGCAGATTGCATAAAATCTGTGGCTCAGTTTCTGTAAAGTAGAGCTAATAATAGTTGTTCCTCATAGGGTTAAGTTAAAGATTAAATCAGATAATGTGGAAAATGCCAAGCTTGTTGCCTCTTGAAGGAGACTGCCGTCAAGTCAGATCCAACTCATAGCGACCCCTCTTTGGGTTTCTGAGGCAGTATCACTACAGAAGTAGATTGCCCAAGCCTAGCACACAGAAAATAAAATGCTCAAAGACTGTTAACATTTAGCTGTTATTATTTGGAACTCATCTTGATGATCTTATTTCTCATCTGAAATTAGAATTTGAGCTAAGTAAATGATAATTAATAACCTAGTTTTCCTTATATCCTTGGGAAGTTAATGAAAAATTACTCCTTTTAATATTGTATTTTAGCCCTTTGTTGTTTTATGTTAGGAGATCTGGTGGCATAGTGGTTGAAGAATTTGGCTGCTAACCCAAAAGTTGCAGGTTCAAATTCACCGCCACTCTGCAAAAGATCAGACCGTGTGCTTCTGCTTCCTTAAAAATTTACAGCCTTGGAAACTCTGTGGAGCAGTTTTACTCTGACCTAAAGGGTTGTTATGAGTCTGAATTGACTTGATGGCATTGGGCTTGGCTTTTTTGTTTTTGTTTTCAAGTCTGTTAAGCTTCTGCCATAAGCAGGTAGCTTCTCACTATATTGGAACCCATATCTTTCTCTCTCTTACCTCATTATGATATAATACTGGTCTATATAAACTTTAATTTCCTGTGTGTCTAAACGATGTGGCTATTTTGAGTTGTCTTATTACAGTTGTGATTTTAATAGATCCTTTATGAAGAGAGAAAAAATATATCACAGAGATATCCTCTGAGACAAAACAGAGACTTTGATTTGTTGGTTAATAAGTTACAGAGCTCCTATAAGGAAAAAGATCCATGCCATATTTATGATCAAGGAAGTAAACAACGTTTCATATTCAACCTTTTGTCTTGATAACCATACCTTCAAAATTACATGTTTCATTGTGGTTGTTACCCATATATTTGTAGTATAAGTTCAACTGTTTGTGTAAATGTTCACTAATTTTAGCTAATAGAAGCCTTTTTTTTTTTTTTTTTAATCCTTTGTATTAATATTGCCTTCTGTTTGCATAGAGACGGTTCCTTGGGCCGAGAGATTATGTTTGCTTGGCAAATTCCATCTTGTGTAAAGTGTAACTTATAGTCAGTGTTCTGTATAAATAATAAATTGTAATAATGATGAGGGAAGTGTCTGCCTTATGGAGACTGTGGTCAGGTCAGAAGTAGTTTGTATACATGTGAGAAATACAATAAAAGGCTGAAGGGAGGCATTCCAAGAATTTTAGGCCAACTGAAAAAAATAATCATGTTTATAGAATTCTTGTCTTTCCTAATATTCTTCTGGGATTTGCTAATGTAGAAGAAAAAAGCCTACAAAATACAACAGATTTATTTTCTACTTGTATATTTCTTCAGTCCCTAAGTAGAGAATCTTGTGGCTGCTAAAGCATCATTATAGTGATCTTGTGTGGCTTTGTCCATACCCATGATTAAATTGAGAAAAACAAGTATTTTTTGACTCTGCTGATGTGTGTTTGTTTATAAGTGGTCTGGAGTCCTGCCTGTAAGACTAATTTTAGGTATCCTACATAGTTTTTAGAAGACAGACTATTTTCCCACTGAATACTGTCGTATAAATATATATATTTATATATTTGTATTTACGTATATTTGTCTTTTATTTTTGGTAGAAAATGATGCATCCTGTTGCCAGCAGTAATCCAGCTTTCTGTGGGCCTGGCAAGCCTTCCTGCCTGAATGAAGATGCTATGAGAGCTGCTGATCAGTTTGACATATATTCTTCCCAGCAAAGCAAATACAGCCACACAGTCAGCCACAAACCAATGGCTTGTCAGAGGCAAGACCCATTAAATGAAACACACTTGCAGACTACAAGTAGCAGAAGCCTAGAAATAAAAGATGAACTAAAGAAAAAGAAAAATCTTAACCGATCTGGTAAGCGTGGCCGGCCTTCGGGAACCACCAAATCAGCGGGATACCGGACCAGCACAGGCAGACCCCTGGGAACCACCAAAGCAGCTGGATTTAAGACAAGTCCAGGCAGACCTTTGGGTACAACTAAAGCTGCAGGATACAAAGTCAGCCCAGGGAGACCTCCAGGTAGCATTAAAGCTCTATCCCGTCTTGCTGATCTTGGTTATGGCTGTGGCACTGCTGCTTTTCCTTACCCTATGATGCATGGCAGAGTAGTTCACGGGGTAGGGGAAACAAGCAGTGAAATCAAGCCACCCAATGAATGAATGAGCAGGAAAGGAGGGCCAGGTTTAGAAGGAAGATTGTGAATAATCCCAAAGCTTCTTGATGTTATTTGTACATACGTGATCTTGTGGCCTGGTCTTTCCAAATTTGTTTTCCCATTTCATTTTTTTCCTGCTTTTGCTCAGAAGCTGCCATATGCTGACAGGTACACTCAGGGCATGAGCAGTGGCATTGTATTTGTACATAGGTTCAAATGTAATACCTAACTAAATCATTTTTGCTTTTCTTTTAAAGTTATGGTCATGTCTCATATTTCATTGCTACTGTTGGGCCATTCTAAATAGATGCTTTATATGCTAAACAATTGAAACCATTATAACTATTAGTTTGTGAAGTACAATATAATAAAGATACTATCTGGAGGTATTTTTAACTGATGGTGCAAAGCAAACTAATGATTCAAGATTACTTGAGGTAATGACTGTGAGTTTTTGTAACATTTATTTTCATGAGACAGGACAGATATTTGTATGAGTTGGCATTTACATAAACAGATGTTAAAAAACTTCATGTTCTAGGTTTAAGCAGCTTTTTATTTATCTATATGGCATTAATTGGTTTAACCATCAGTATTTGGTTTTCAGCAGTGATAAGTTATGTGTTTTAATTGCCTAAAAGCATATATACCAAACACTACAAATAATGCATATTTACAGAAAAAATAAACTATTTTATGAACAACTGCACATTACATTTTTAGTGAAATATAATGCATTCTGAGAGCATATTTAATATAATAGAAAAAGAAACATTCCTAAGGTCTGCATATAGCTATTGTCACTATATTTTGCCTTTCATATACTTAATGAGTTTTAAAGCATTATGCTTAAAAATACTGATTAGTGTTGCTCATTTATTTGGAATATTTTTTAGTTTTTCTGATAAATACTCCCATTGCAGTAGCACTTACTGTGTTTTCAGGTTTATATCAACCAAAGGACACAAATTTAATGGTAGACTGACTGTAGAACTGGTATAAACAGAATGCAGTGTCCTAGCTGTCGGAACCCAAATATTAAGAAATATATAGGAATCCATCTATGCATGAAAAATGTAAAAATATGTTATTTAGTTTAAAATCTTACTTTGGATCCTGGGAGACCACTTCATCCAAAACAAATTATTTTCCAACAGTGTTTGCTTTAAAAGCAAAATAGAAAAGGAAGAAAATAATGGGTAAATATATATAATAGGGAATGAGGGAAATCTCTATTTCCTCCTTTTCTGAAAGTACTATTCCTTGTTAATACACATTTTATTTATTCTGAGTTTGTTTTAAATAACATAAACTATTATAAACTTTGGATTAGAAAAAAAATTCCGCTGAATTTTAAAATTACAATGTATGGACTTGGAATTTAATTGCCTTTGAGATTATAATGTTGCAGATTTGCATGACCCAAAAACTTTAAAAATTAATAAAATTTTAAAAGGGCACATACTGTGTTGTTTGGCTTGCTCTCAGTTAATGCAAACTCTGATTGCAAATGGATGTCATGTTTCGTACCTTTTTTATCAGGAAAAAAGCAGCAAGCCTTCAGGTGTTCCAGTGATGCCTGACACAATGAGCTGGACTTTGTGCTGCTCTTTACAGTAAGAGGTGTTGCATTGTATGTGGGGACTGTGTGCACTGGCATCTAAGACAGTGACCTCAACAATTTTAGCATTGCACAAACCATAGAGAACAATGTTGGATGACTACATAATCAATTGCAACATTCTGGCAGCTAAATCGCTACAAGAGTTCGTTTTTGCTGAGGCTTAAAATATAAAACTTTTAATAATTTACTCAGAACAGTATAACTTCTGACACACACAAATGCTTACATCTTTATTCATATGTTCATCTACCCATTTTTTATTATGTGGAATTTAGCTGATTCTCAACATGATGTTCAGCAATTGGCTGCTTAGAAATACTTTTTTGAACTAGTTCCTGAAGACAGCTGTTTAATTATATGTTTTACCTTAGAATAATATATACTATTGTCAAGGATTTGAATGCATGTTGTGTTTTATATTAAGTCCATTTTACATTTACCTTTCAGTTTATTTTTGTTCCTGATTTTGTTATACAGACCCCCTATCCTTTCCTATATTCATTCTTCTCACTGGTCCCCAAACCCAGTACATTTACTCAGTGGTGCTGTGCTGTGTGTCAGAAGATAAAACAGGTGTATTATTGTAAAATGAATTTTGTATACATGTTTATGAAATGGTAAAATCACCTAATGGAGGAATGTTCATAACAATGAGGAGCTCTGTCCCAGGGGAAAAAAAGGGAGAGTGACTGTAGTTATAAATGGATAACATAGTTTAGAAACCTGAATTTGCTATTCATGAGAGCAGTTACCCAGAGTATTACATCAGTATACTGGTGAGCATCTCCTGATATCATTTACTTTTCTCCTGGTGAACAGTTTACTGGTGCCATGCTGAAGAGAAAGACACTTAAGTGATAACATATTGAAGTCTTAAAATACAAGATATTTTTACTTCTGTATAATCTAAAGACTACATTGTGCATCTTTTGTAACACTGTCTTTTGTCAATGATAAACACTGAAATAGCATGTTAAATGATTACCTATTCTTTAATATAATCAGTTGGGAAAAACTGACCCCTTCTCCCTACTGTATAATTGTTCTTAAAAGGTAAATTGCCAATTTTATACTGTGTAATTCTGTCCTTCACAAAATAGGTTTCACTATTCTATATTAAAACTGTTGGTCAGAAAATGATCTACTATTCAAGTAAGTTTTTTTTTCCTTTAAAAAATATTTTAACATGCCTTATTTATTATTGTTATGTTAACAAATAAGGAGCTAATACATATGAAATTTTCATTTTTTACAGATAGAACTTTGCATAACTAATCTTTAGTATGGGATGATTTTGATACTATCTTTGGAGTTTTACACTGGATAGTAAAAAAATACTGGCACAATGTATCAGAAGAAAATAAGTAGTATCCATTTAGTTTTTAACATTTGGGGGACCTTTTAAAGTCACTGTTTTAGTTAAGACATTTTTGTCCTTATATTTTAATTAACTTATAAAAGAAAACTCTGTCAAATTAATAATCATTCCAAACTGATGTTTATGTGAATTTACATGGACATTTTCATGAAGTAAGAATAGAGTTTCTTTGAGTTAAGGAGGAAAAAAGAATTTTGGATCTATTAGGCCAAGAATGATTGATCCAGTGTAAGAATAACCATAGTATATGAGCTAAAGAAAACAAAGTCAAACTTCTCCTTTATATTATAAGAAGCTTTAAAAGAACAATTCAGGGGATGTTAATAACTGCTACTCTGTCAGTCGTTGTCTCTATATGCAGTAAAATTTTATGATCCCTTTATAGTAAAATAAAAGAATTCACAACATTTACTAAAAACATTTTTTTCCTTAGACATAAAAATTTTTTGATTCTATTTTGTTTTTGTTTTTTCTAACTATATGCTATTAAACTCTAGGATGTATCTAAGTCTTTCCTTTGCTTTACTCCCTCCCCCACCTTCCCGTCTCCCCCAGGTAGATAAATCTGTGCTTTCACATATAATGTATTTAATTTTTTGAAATTTTAATGCTATAGTAAACCAAGTGTGTGATTTATAGTAATCAGACCATTCTGATTCTTTACGCTTTCAAAATATCTTTTTCCACAGATAATTATGGAGAAAATAACTACAAATTAACTGATATAAGCACGCTGTCCTCTGCTGTAAAAAGTCTGAATAAATACTGTGTATGTTTTTCTGTCCATGAACTTGAGCTACTCGTGTGCAATTACGTGTATGGAATGGAGTAGTGTTCATGATTTGTATCTACATTATCATATGGATGTATATTTATTAATAAAGTCATTACTTTAAAACCTACTATGTTTACGACTTTGTTGTCTAGCGTTTTTAAAGTAAGGGGAGCGATTAACCTTTTTCTTGACTGTGGGTCATGTATTTTCCTTGGGATTGTGCTTTCTGAAATCTGTCTACTCAGTACTTTACTGTTGTTGTTGTTGTTATGTGCCGTCGAGTCAAACCCGACTCATAG